TATGGAGCTCGTTTTTGCTACAACGGAAAACAAATTGTGAACCATCGGATTCAAAATTGGGCACGTTAAGCACTAGGCCACGCCCCGCCCCCGTTCGAAAGGACAAGAAGTGAACCAGTATTTGGATTGCTCCTGTTTTAACAAATAAACTCTTTAATAATGAGATTAGATTACCGTTCCATCAACAAACACGACCTTCTTTGAAACGTTTGTTGTAGAATTAAGTATATCAAAGTCAACCGATCATAGCGAGAAACGCACAAGAAATTGGTACAAAAACAGACGTATTTGTTGCTTGGAAAATTACAGACTCGAATAATTTATGTTTTGTCATGATTAGTTGTTTAAATCTAACAATATGTCCACCTGTGGGGATTAAAGATCTTATTACAAGATTATGTTTCGTTATAAACACAGAAATGTGTGATTTTCACAGCTGAATTCATTATGTTTTGTCAACGAAAGACAGTAATATTTTAATGTTGCTTCAGGTCTGTTTTTAACAGTACATTTACTGCCATTATCCTAATCCGAATGATAATGTAACAGGCTATGTCTATAACTATATCCTACCATGAAGGGCGTATGGCTGAAATAAAAAAACATCATTTGCAAAGTGTCTGGATTCGTCTCACGTGTCACGTGAAAGCTTGCTTACGTAATCAGGTCCTGCCAAGGTATTGAGACCAAGGTTGTTAATTATACATATCAATTTGGCCAATTATGTGTTTTTGTTTGTTTGTTTTGAATTTCGCGTAAAGCTACACGAGGGCTATCTGCGCTAGCCGTCCCTAATTTAGCAATGTAAGACTAGAGAGAAGGCAGCTAGTCATCACCACCCACCGCCAACTCTTGCGCTACTCTTTTACTAACGAATAATGGGATTGACCGTCACATTATAAAGCCCCACGGCTGAAAGGGCGATCAAGCTTGGTGTGACGAGGATTCGATCCCGCGACCCTCATACTGCGAGTCGAGCACCCTAACCACCTGGCCATGCCGGGGCCATTATGTGTTTTTATTTCAATCTGTATTATCCAATCAGAAATCATCAGACGTGGCAGACACAGAACCATAAGATCACGCTAACACCACTGTCGATATTTTAGGTGTTTAACTAGTAATGGAATTTTCAACCTAACGGCGCCTCCTGCATTCTTGAGACAAACGGCCAAGTGAGAGACCCCTAGAGTACAGGTATCCCTAACTTCGAACTAATTACCTGAAGAAAGGCGGACAGTCAGCAACACACTCTGCTTCAAGGGCTTTGTCCAGCCTTAACTGCGAAGAGTGTTTAGAGGCGTGTACTCTAGACCTTTCGATACGCAGTCCAGTACGTCAACCACTAAGCAACTTCCTGTCCTGCTTAATATATAACTGAAAATTTAAACATTTCTTTATAGGTAAAATATTTCGCATTTATATCTATTCTGGGCTATAACAGAGTCTAAATTGGCTAGATATGGCATTTCTGTATATTCTGGGCTATAACAGAGTCTAAATTGGCTTTAACTATTCACAATTTTACACTTTTAATACATTCTTATTTCAACTTATTATTTTGATCTCTGGAACACCTACGATTAAAGGGTCGTTCCCGCATTTTTCAGTGCTAAGTTCACGAAAAGAAATGATCCACTTCAGTGGCGTACAAGGCATATTATGGACCACAAGGTAAAATTCTAACATAGTACGCCCCCAATTTTATTTTATTTTTACTTTTATAGCTCGCACGAGATACAAGACGTATTCTAAATGGACGATATATTTTTTTTTAGCCAATATAAATCTACGTTTAGTGGTAAACTTCGAAAAATAAATAAATCGGGACACCTTGAATTGAGGTGAGCAGAAAGGAAAGCTTTTTTTTTTTAATTTTTACTTTACGGATTACACTAAACCCCTGTTATTACAAAACAACAACATCACTTCTAAAATATGGAATTAATATTGTTATTTCGACCTAAATTTTAATGTTTAATATGTTGATGTGCACTCGATATCTGAAACGTTCTCGCTGGTCGTAATAAAATGTGAGGCTTAACTTCACGGACCCCGTGACTATGTTGTCAATGTGTATACGTCACTGGTCCTTTTAAAACGACCGTTTTCGGTGCATCACAGTGACTTTGCGACTTCAGTTAAATCGACTACACTTTTCACAACTAGTAGACACTCATAATGAACTACATTCTTCACATCTGAGACAACTCGAGCCCCCCCCCCCCCCAAAAAAATATATTCAGTCTAAAGTCTGACATGTACAACAGTTTGCAAACGAACAGAACGAGGTTTTAGTTATGTTGATTAATTTAGGTCTCAGGTCACTAAAAGTTACAAGAAAAATGTTAAAACAAATTAACGTACGATATTTACAATATAATGACAACTAAATACTAACTGAGAACTGAAAAAGAATGGGGCAAAAGAACTGAATTTTAAATTTTAACAGACTATATTTCTATAAAATACATAACATTTAAAACTACGTTAATTATAAACGTACTTAACTCAGTTTATTTCAGAATTTCGTGCAAAAAAAAAAAAGCTACACCGAGGTTACGATCACTAATTTTAAACTGATAAACTAATCAATAGTTCCCACCGTCAACTCTTGGGCGAACAGTGGAATTTAACTGTCACTCTGATAATACATTCAAGGCCCCAAAGTGTGGAGCGCGTTTTAACGGCAACGTGGATTCATAGAGCGGGCACGCTAACCACTAGGCCACGCAAGGTCCTAATCGATTAGAAACAGATGCACGAAAAGGATGTGAAATGGAATAATTGAGCAAACCACTGAATTATAACCAGGAGCATCGTTTGTTTGCATTTATTAAAGGATTAATTAGGAACGTTTAGCTCAAGAACACCAGGGCCACAGTGTTAATCTGATTGATTCGCGATCAGAGACCATAAAATCGCGCTCCGCATTTGGGGACTTGGGTGTGTTATAAGGGAAACTTTCAAATCCCACTATTCGGTCAGAAAGCGGACACTTCAAAATTCTAGATGTCAAGCGCAGTTTGCCCTGAAATTCTGAAACAAACAAACCAACGTCATCCACATGAAAGACAGCGGTGCCCAATCATTTTACAGATTGACACTAGCGGTTTCTTTAACATTCAACTACTTTGGATTTCTACGCTTCTGAACATACATCAAATAAATCACTAAGCCCTATGTAAAAGTGACTTGAAATTGTACATTTGTAGATTGAACTTAAGAATTGAACAACTAAGAAACAGGCATTGTTTGTCACGAGCTACAAATAATAAAATATTTCTAAATACAGACGACCTTGTATGTTCTCTGACAATAACAAAATACAATGTAGAATATTAAAATGCAAAGGTTTGCACACTTTTGGAACAACGAAAATGGAAAGTAAATTGAGAGAAGGAAACACAATGGGCTATCTGTGCTCTGCTCAACACGGGTATCCAAACCCGGTTTCTAGCGTTGTAAGTCCGAAGACACGCCGCTGTACCACTGGGGGGCGGCGTCAATAGTTGTCTTGTTTGTTTGTTTGTAATTAAGCACAAAGCTACACAATGGGCTATCTGTGCTCTGCCCACCACGGGTATCGAAACCCGGATTCTAGCGTTGTAAGTCCGCAGACTTGCCGCTGTGCCGCGTCAGTAGTTAACTGCTGATTCATTATTGAACGTTATATATATATGCATATAAAGACAAACTTTAAATCAAATTCAGTTAAGATAAACCTTGCGAGAAACAGAGTTATAAAATAGTGATTTGAATAACACGATTGTGAAATTATGTGTACTTGTGCTGAGAACACGTTACGTATACTTGCAGGGCTACGGACATTACAGCCGTGACGAAGCAATTTTAACAAACAAGGCCTTTGATAACAGTCTTATATCTTATGCAGAATTATATTTTTTTGCACTAAAAGATGAGTTAACATTCTTCTTCGAAAAATTTAACGAGCGATGACGTTGGCATTAGGATTTAGTTTTAAGTAGCAATGAAAATGGCAACACAAGACAGATGGATTAAATTTCTCATTACGAAAGACTGAGGCCATGTGGTGCCATCTAATAGCTAATTTTAGTACTAGAATTGTCTGCACAGACAAATTGGGACAAAAAGGATTACTGCGAATAATTTCCTTTATTTAAAAAAAATATATGTATTATTTTGCCCCCTAGTGGCACAGCGGTATGTCTGCGGACTTACCACACTAGAATCCGGGTTTCGATACCCGTGGTGGGCGGAGCCCAGATAGCCCATTGTGTCGCTTTGTGCTTAATTACAAACAAAGAAACAATGCATTCTTTAATATTCATTAACATTTATAATTTATTACATGTTCATTCAGTTATTTCGTTTCAATTTTAAGTGGTAGATAATTAAGTCAAAAATAAAGACATTTCTGTAAATGTTATGATGTTCATACGTTTTGGAAAATGATCAATTTAAAAAGCATTAAGATAAAGAAAGAAAAAATGATACACGCGTTAAAGGTGAAAAACTAATTCACAGTTTGAGACATTTCAATAAATAAAAAGCGTGGAAGTTCGATGGGTGTTTAATTGAATAATGCAGTGCCTTTAATTTAATGACCAAATTAAATTTGAAATTAAAATAAATACGAAAAATAAACACTACTTCTTGTAATTGCTTCCGATTAATCAAGCCTTACGAATATATATATTAAGTTAGAATTTATTTAGTAAATGCCTGATATTAATGAGCAAATATCACAAACTACACGCGCTTTCTACAAGCTTTATCTCCACAAATCACTACAGACACTCATTTTTTTGTATACTTAAAAATTTTTTTTTCGATACGTTCTTATCAACGTGCGTTGCTAGGAAACGAAGCACTAATAACGGTGAACACTTTCTTGCACATTTTCTGTAGTAAAAAAAACAAAAAAAACGCATCAACAACCATCTCTGAGTTAGAAATTTGGATGCTTGATCCCACTCTCTAGTGAATAGTCATGATCGAATAAAATAAGACATGAATGAAAATAAAAGCTATATATTTATGTCAACAATAAACCAATCACATTAATCACTGTACAACCCTAAATATATATATATATATATCAAAATAGTTAGAAAACTAAAAACGTTAGAAAAATATATCATGTATTTCATCAACCACAGAACTAGAGGCACGCACGAAACAAAACCCAAACCTAATTAGTACGGCTCTGCTGTAAGAGGGTTTAGAAGAGAAATTATTACTTAAAGGTTTGATTGGTGAAATATAATTTTAGCTCTTTTTTTTTATTTAACAGGTGACGAATTAATAACGCCTTTAGGATCATCTACGTTCAGTACAAACCCCGTCTTTACAAGCTTGGCAGAGGTCGCTGTTGTGAGGGGTGCGAGGTTTCCCTTGTCGGCGGCTTCTGTGGATTGGTGGTTGATAAAAACCGTAGTAAACCTGCCCAATTCTGTTGTAAACATTGGCCAAAACCTGTGAATATATAGATATTTTCATAAGTAAGTGATTAAATTCTACTAATCAAAAAAGCACTTGAATGAGGAAAATTTTAGGTTTGAATATACGTTACGTTGACGTTTTGGTTTGTTTAATGTTGTTAAGCGTAGGGGGCTACACAATGGGGCTCTCTGTGCTGTGTCCACCCTAATTGTAGCATTACAAACCTTAAGATTTATCACTGAGAGCTACTTTTGGTGGGGTGGGAGGCTACTTTGGTTAAGCCGTAGACTTTACATGCAATTTTGTTTATGTGACTGCCTGCTGTCATGCGCAATATTGACCATGAAAAGTGGGCCTAAAAGCTTCCTAGCCTTTCTTTCATTTCAGGTACTTGGGTTTTGTTCAGTTGTACCTGCAAACTGAATGTAATGTTTATCTCCATATCTAAACGGGTTCTACTTCCTACTTCCGGTAAGACTATCTTTGCTCATTACGACAAAGCTAGGTTGATTTGTATCTTGAAAATCGGAGAATGTTCGATAGTTTGTTTGTTTTTGAATTTCGCGCAAAGCTACACGAGAGCCATCTGCACTAGCCGTCCCTAATTTAGCAGTGTAAGACTAGAGGGAAGGTAGCTAGTCATCACCACCCACCGCCAACTCTTGGACTACTCTTTTATCAACGAATAGTGGGATTGACCGTCACTTTATAACGTCCCCACGGCTGAAAGGGCGAGCATGTTTGGTGGGACGGGGATTCGAACCCGCGACCCTCAGATTGTGAGTCGAGTGCCCTAGCCGGAATTTTCGATAGACAGATAACTCGTTGTTACAAAGTGAAATTCTTCTACACCGTTTGCCAACTTGGAAGGATAACCAATATCAATTCTTAGTTTTATTCCCCGCTAGACACGTGTGTACATATTCAGATTTATACATGTAGGTCATGCGTAACCAATATATATACAATGACGTCAATAAATTTGAGTTTTAAACATATTTCTTTAAGTAAGTTGATAGCGCAAGAGCGAATTCTTTGTGTTAAAATAAAGCCAGCAGATGTCACCCAATTAACTTCACATTTCAAAACTGAAACTTAACCTTATAATCACCGATTTAAATTCTCTATAGCTCTGCACATCCAACCAAAGTAAATAGAAAACCAAGAGAAAATTCCAAATTGAAAAGTATCCCCATCAGGGTACATGTCCCATCAGGGTACATGCCCCATCAGGGTACACGTGGTCTTTTTGACGTATCCAACGTGACGACGCCCGAATGGCAACAAATTGTTTATTTGTTTTTTTTAATTTCGCGCAAAGCTACACGAGAGCTATCTGCGCTAGCCGTCTCTATAATTTAGCAGTGATAGATTAGAAAGTCAGTCAACATCACCCACCGCCAACTCTTGAGCTATTTTTTTTTGTTTACCAACGAATAGTGTGATTAGCTGTAACTGAATAACGCTCCTGCGGTTGAATGGGCGAGCATGTTCAGTGATGGGATTCGAACTCGCGACCCGCCCTAACCACCAGGACATGCCAGGCCCAGAAAGGAATTATTGTTCGTAAGGAAAATTTGTTAAGTTAGCTTACTAGTTTGCAGCTTTAAATAGTAATAATAATAATTCTTTAGGAAATGCCCCCCAGTGGCACAGCGGTATGTTTGCGGACTTACAACGCTAGAATCCTGGTTTCGATACCCGTGGTGGGCACAGCACAGATAGCCCATTGTGTAGCTTTATGCTTAACTACAAACAAACTAGTCATATACGCCCCCAGTGGCACAGCGCTATATCTGCGGACTTACTTCGCTAGAATCCGGGTTTCGATACCCGTGGTGGGCAGAGCACAGATAGTCCATTGTGTAGCTTTGTGCTTAGTTTACAAACAAACAAACAAATTTTAGGAAACTTCAGTACGCATATCATGTCATCGGTTCTAACCTTTTATTTTAATATATCTGTTTTGTTAAATTTTGATACAGCTAAAAAGACACGAGATAAGGGTTGACGAGTTCTTAGGATGAACTCGATGTGACACAGTTGGGAAAGTTGTAGAAATAGCTATTATTAAAAACTGACCTTTATGACCTCCTCTGGGTACCACATAGCGGGTTCGTAGCGCCCAAGCTTGCATCGGTCACACTGTTGGCCAAAAAGTTTAAAAAGTACGAAACCCTCGCCGACCATGAGGTTAAGAGTGAACCAAAAGGCCACTCTTCCCTTCATAGAAGTCCAGCCATGGCCACATTCCTAAATAAAAGGAAAAAAGAAACATTTTTATAGAAGTCCAGCCATGGCCACATTCCTAAATAAAAGGAAAAAAATAAACATTTTTTATAGAAGTCCAGCCATGGCCACATTCCTAAATAAAAGGAAAAAAGAAACATTTTTATAGAAGTCCAGCCATGGCCACATTCCTAAATAAATTGAAAAAAAATCATTTTGTAGAAGTCCAGCCATGGCCACATTCCTAAATAAAAGGAAAAAAAAAGAAGCGTTTTTTAGCTTAAAAATTCTTTGAAGGTTGAATTATTTTAAAATTACTGCGCAAAGCTAATTTTGAACCGATTGACTAGGATGAAAGACTGGTTAACACCACCCAACAACAACTCTTTGAGCTACTCTGATCGAATAGTGAGGTTTTAACGTTACTCTTATAACACATTCACGGCTCCAAAGTGTGGAACGCGTAGATGTTTGTAGATGCGAACCGCAAAACCCGCAGATCAGTAGTCCGGTTCGTTATCTACTAGACCATGCCTAGCCTCCTGCGAATTGGAAGAACTTGTCTTACAGTATAATGCTTCCTGGTGTGTAGTTATTTATTTCTGGTAATTATAATAATCAATGCTTTTTAACAAAATTAGTATACCTACAAAACATTCGGATTGACGACGGTGCTTTTTTAGCGCAAATCTACACTATGTCCACCGCGAGGAATCGAACCTCAGATTTTAGTCTTATGTTATAAAATAGAAGAAAAAGAAACGTATTTAGCTATTTCAAAAATTATTGCGGATTTCATGAAATATTCAATCAGTTTTGTTCTTACTTCGTTCACATATTTTTCAAAACAGCCCAGCCAAGCCCACGGTCCTGATTTGCAAAGTTAACCCAAACCGGTTCAAGACAGTCACAGAATTCACCATTTCTAAGTCCTGACTTTGTTCCAAAATTTTACAACGAAAATTACTTAATTGCTTCGACTTCTGACATACGCCAACCATAAATAAAATCATCAGTAATTTAAAGATGCCCCCCCCCCCAGTGGCAGAGCGGCGTGTCTGCGGACTTACAACGCTAGAATCCGGGTTTCGATACCCATGGTGGGCAGAGCACAGATAACCAACCCATCGTGTAG